AATGGAGGTTGGCTAATTGGTCAAAGGAGTGGGGGTACGCCCACCCCTCTCAGTACTCCCCAAACATACCACTGTTTGTGGTCACAACAGATGACTTGAATTCATCCGCAAGATAATTTCAATAGCACTTAGACTTGCTGTATTTTTTGGACAATAAGACACACCAGTATATAACACGCACCAAGATTTCGAAGAGGTAAGTAAAAAAAAAAAGATTTTGTCCTTCCTGGCCCCCAGAAGCACTCTGCAGGCTTCAGCAGGGCTGGAAAAGGAAAACTCCCCCCATTTTTATGAAAAATGGATGGAAAATGGGCCATTTTTCGCAAAAACGGGGGCATTTTTGCCTTTCCCCAGCCTTGCTAAAGCCTGCAGAAAACTTCTGGGGCTGGGGGAAGACAAAAACACTTCCAGTTTTGTGAAAAATGACCTGTTTTTTGCAAAAATGGGTTGCGGGGATTGGGAGGCCAAAAATGCCTGGATTTGGTGTATGACACACCAACATTTCTACGCTCTTTTAGGAGGGCGGGAAAGGTGCATCTTATATGTTATATACTGCTTCATAGTGCTTTACAATCTTATTTTAGCAATTTAGAGACTCAGCATATTTCCCCCAACAATCTGGGTCATTTTATCAACTTCACAAGGATTGTAAGGCTGAGTCAACTGTTAGCTGTCGAGGATCGAATTTCTGTCAGTGAGCTGAATTAGCCTGCAATACTGCATTCTGACCACTGTGCCACCAATGTCTCCTTATGGTTGGTAAAGTGTTATAGATTAGTATGCCCGGCCATTTTAGTAGCATAGTCTTGGCTGAAGTGGGGAGGAACTATTGATATTGTGATAGAGCAAATGTCAATTTGAAATTGAACTCCTGGGTTGAAGTCAATGTTGTGTGATCAATGGGGAAAATTGGTATTCACAGGGCATGACAATTCTGCGCTTTAAAAAAAGCAGGCCAGGATTTCAAATTTAATACTTGCATGCAGAGGAAAAAGTCTGACATGCTGGTTAATCTACGTGATTACTGTGTTAATTTCTATCATGGTTTACTTTCGACATCCAAAAAACAGTGTGGCCAATTATTTTGACATGACATCTTTAGATCAATAAGTCTGGTATAAACCTACATGGATAAAGATCACTTATATCATTGCTCCAATTCTTTTTAATGTGGCTGCCCTTATTTGTCATCTTGATGGCTGAAGCCAACCACAAAAGTAATTAATTTTCTAAGCCATTCAGTCTAGGTGAGTATTTTGCTTTTTCATGCCATACCACTTTCTTACCTATATGCATTTTTCTTACATTGGAAAATGCAGGGATAATCTACATTTCCACAAAAATGGGTGAAATTGGAAGGAATCCCAAATTCATTGGACTTTACTAGTAAACGTAATATAAAGTACCTTCAGTGCATTTTTCACAACACTCATATTTTTTTTAATCATGTGCTAGGCTCCTGAAGTAGTAGAAGCCTTCAGCAAAGTTAAATCTCTTGACAGTGCTATTTTAATCACGAGTGATGTCTCCTTTCTCCCCCGATGCTTGAATTCCTTAGATACAGGATTTCTGCCCCAAGGGAACAAGCTATATCCAAAATAAAATGATGTTGTCTGTATAAGAAAGAGGGCACATTGATGTCCATTATATTGTCCCACCTGATTTGTCCATGTTTTATGGAGCCTTCATGGCACAGGGGATCCATGAATAATAATGGTCTTCATCATTCATGCAGAACAGCAAGGATTGTAGAATTGAAATCCTTAATGACATTCAGTAACACATTTTTAAAAGCCTTATCCTGTCCCCATACTTCACAGTAACACAATGAGTATGACCATCGTCAACAATTTTAAGTTATGTAACTGAATCCTAGAAAGGTTGTTAACCAAAGATTACTGAAATAATGAATGTCATACAGCAAAAGCAACATCTGCATTGTTTGCTTACACCAGTGGTAGTCAACCTGGTCCCTACCGGCCACTTGTGGGCCTTCCAGGTTTCATGGTGGGCAGTAGGGGTTTGCTGTAACTCTGCTTTATAAATTTTATAAAGTAAAGTTACTACCCTACTTTATAAATCAGCATTACTGTGGAACCGGTGGGCGTTTAGAAAATTTTACTACTAACAGAGATACAAAAGTGGGTGGAAGGTATAAAAAGGTTGACTACCCCTGGCTTACACTTAGTTCACTATGAAATCCAGAATCTGTTGCATAATTCAGTATTACCATTAATTTTGTATTTTTCTTTGGTTTAGTTTGAAAATAATCTAGGTTTGAAAAACAT